GGATAACCAAAATGAATTTTGCGTAACAAAATAACCAGTGTCACTAAAATTATTTTGAAAAAAATAGCAAGATCTCTATGTAAAATTTATATCAATCAAGGATAAATTATTGTCAAAACTCTAATAGAAAATAAGCCCGAATGAACTATTATTAATTTAAAATTAATTGTTATTAAAACTAAAATGAATATTTGTTAATAAAAGAATAATCTAAATAAATAAGTATCCGTTTGAGTTTTAACAACAATTAATCCTTGATTAATATAAATTTCATATAGAAGCCTTTAATTGCTATTTTCCCAATGATTTTTCTAAACCATCCTTATCATTTTTAAATAGTTTTTTTAAAGAATTTTGTAGACCATGCTTAATTTTCAATAGAGTGTACACTGTACATTTAGAGTTTACAATTCATTTAATTTTCAATCTAAACCTAGTATCAAAAGGTAATTAGGCTACTTAATTTAGCTACGTTAATTTATTTGAATTTTTTTAATATGTTGACACGTTTCATTTTGACATTAATTTGTCGAAAGTGACATATTAATGGAAACTTTATATTCCAATTTAAATCGAATTTGATTAACTGATTTTCAAAACAATTGTTGTCCTTAGGAAAAACAATACAATAACTTATGGCATACGTCACATGTAAATAATAAAGTGTGCAGATGACAATTTTGTTTTTAATTCTAAGCCTAATCCTAATTTCAAAAAGTAATTAGGCTATTTAACGAAGCTACTTTAATTTATTTGAAAATTTCTTTTGTTTTGAAGCACGCCCAATTTTGGATTAAATAAAATACACATTCAGTTTAATATAATTAAGTTGAATAAAAATTTATTTAATGACGCTAAAAATTTAAAATAGGACCCAAACCTAAAGAATTTAGTCCAAGTCCACATAGATCTTCTTAAATAGGTTAGCAACCCACCTTTTCAAAAAAAGCAATAGTGGATTGGTGAAAACTACAAATAATGGTCTTAAGAAAGTCGTGCATGAAGTTATAACAAAATTGTTGCCTTATGCCTATAAAAGAAGAAAGCCACCACACGCACAAAATCTCTCCAATCACTTCAACAACTAAAATTTCAATCAATCCAAAAGTATTACAATTGTTTCACAATGCAAATTTTTTTATTTTTTTCCATAATGCAAATTTTTTTATTTTTTTCCATCTTTATTTTCATATTTCTTTTATTTCTAAACGCTTGTATGTGGAGAAAATGTGGTAAAAGAACCTAGAAACTCACCATTTCATTAGGAATTAAAAAACACATCTTAATTTGATTAGAAAATATACATTAAGCATGTAAATTTAAATACATTGAGTATTGACACCCAAATTAATTACTCCTATTCGATTGTGGGCGGAGCACGTGAGTAACCTTGGGCCAATTCTAGTTAAAATATTTTAGAGTCGTAATGAAAATAATTTCTGTTAATTTTTAAAATTTTTTAAACAAAAATTCCAATAATAAGACTTATTTTGGTTTCTTTTTCAACATAAAAACATTTACCAACATTACCCAAAAAATTAATTGGATTGATAAGGATTTGAATCATACCTTGTGGGTTTGGATCCCTTTATTAATGTGAGAGCGTTGTTAGAATGCAATCTATCACCTAAACTTTTTTTTAGATCCCTTTATTAATGTGAGAGCGTTGTTAGAATGCAATCTATCACCTAAACTTTTTCTCATTAAAAAACATGAGATAATACAACTTTTAGCTCCTTAAGCTTATTTCAATTATTAATTTAAATCTTTAAGTTTAATTTTTATTAATTTAGTTTCTTAAATTTATTTCAATTATTAATTTAATCTTTATTGTTTTAAAAAAAGGTTACATTGTTCAAATTTACTGAATTGGATGATAAAATATTGGTGGAAGTTATATAGATTAAGGGAGAATAATGGTTAGGTCCCAAAAAAATTAAATTAATGATAGGTAGGTCCTTAATAAAATTTTCTTGAAATTAAATTATAAATATCAATTCAAACAATTATAAACAGAAATTCTTATTACAATTTATGAGTTACATTTGATACTTAAATACTTATTTATAATTGAAACTTTTGAATTTATAATTATTTGAATTAATATTTTCAATTTATTTTTTTAAAAAATTTATTGAAGACTTAGCTGTTATTAATTTAATATTCTGGGACTTAAATATCATTTTTCCTATAAATTAATAAAAATGAGTGTAATTATTTAGGTAAAAGAAAATAGATTTTGACATTGTAAAAAATAAGAGAATAAAACACATTATGAGAGATTATATTGATAAAAATTAGGGGTGTCCACGAGATAGGACATAACTGGGACACCCCATCCGACATCCCATGCAAAAAAAAAAGATCGAAACTAAATTTTGGTCCTATGTTACATTCCATCCCGAAACTCATCCCGTCTCGTTAGGAGTCGAGACGAGATTGGGACAAAATCGAAACATCCCATCATCTCAATGAATGAGATAATATCAGAGAAAGATTTGGATAATAACGTTTATTAAAATTTTAAATTATATAATTTATTAAGTTTAAAATCAAAACAATACAAGTATATAAATCACAACAATTTAAAGTCAATTATTAAATTATATTAATTACAACTACATATTATAATAGCAAATACAAGTTATCTTTATGCTATAAGAGTAGCAATAACAGGCAAGTCAAGCACAACATTAAATTATTGTTCTTTTACTTTAGTGGAGATATACTAAACTAATTATTCTTTTAAAAATAAAGCAAGAAATATGTTATAAATAAAAGTTATTAAATAGATAGGTATAAGAATAAATTATATTAATATAATTAATATATTATAAAGAAAGATATTGTCATGTTTACTCTATATCATTAAAATTATCAATATAAAAAAAATTTAGTTGTAAATAAGAATTGCAAGTAGTGAAATTATAATTGATATAATAAATATAAGTATAAATTATATTAATATAATTAATATATTTAAAATAAAAAATAATATATATAATATTCGGGATGGGATGGGACATCTCCATAGTAATCCCCGTGTCCCGTCCCATCTCAAACCCCTTTCTTATCCCATCCCAATTATTTTCAGATTAGGACAAGACTCTTTCCGATATGATTGAGACGATACCGGGCCAATTGGGATGGATCCAAGTTGAACACTCCTAATAAAAATTAAACTAATTTGAGGGCTAATTTATTCTCATTTATCTATATATACATGCCAAATCATCAATATATTTTACAATTTATATTATTTTAAGAGTTAATTTATGTTTTAAAATTTAAAGGACTCATCATATGATAATTTAAAAAAAATATAAGGATCAAACTAATAAAAATTAAATTTAAAGGATCAAATCCATAACCAAGGCACATTTAAGAGACTAAAAATTTCATTGTCCTAAATTAACCAACACTAGACTTGTTTTGCTTGCAAAGAATTTATAAATTATCATAAACATGATAGAATTAGGGGTTGAGAATATGGGTCGGGTTACATGAAGTGGCTCGAATAATTGGTTATAAAGGTTAAGTTGGGTTGAAAAAAAATATGATCTAAATAAAAAAGATTTTTTCTAACTTGAACTATGCAACTCATGAAGCATATGGGTTGATCCTGATATGTTAAAGTTGGCTAGTTTAACTCATATTATTTTTTTTAAAATAAAAAAAGGAAGAAAGTGAAATTTTGTCACTAAAGAGGGGTATAAACAATATGAGACACTTAACTGGCTCAATTCATATATTTTATACAAATATTATGAATTAGTGTATTTAGAATAAATTATGAAAAAAATATTATATTGGGACTCATAATTTAGGTGCATTTTTTAAAATTTATAAAAGAATAAATTGGTTGGTAGGTTCGCCCATTTAACCTGTCAACTCTTAATGGTTAAGTTGTGTTGAGATTTTTTTCAACTGATATTAAAATGGGTTAAATCTAAGTCAACTCATATGACTTGGGTTTGCCTATATTCATAGCTCTAAATAGAAGTGTGTATTTGGTCTTTAGTTTGTCAAAAGTTTATTTAATGAAAGTCCATTTGATAAAAGTCAATTTAGTGAAAATCAATTATTGTAACAAAATTTATATTTGGATACATTTTTTTCAAAAGTCAATTTGGTACATTGAAATTTATTTGTGTTATGATAGTGAAATGTACTTTTGAATGTAAATTATCAAGAAAGATATTGACTTATGATGATTTGTAATTTTTATTATACAAATATAATATATTTAAAATATTTAAGAAATGTGATAAATATTTAAAATAACATAAAATTTGATCTATGATGCTAAAAACTTGATCTCTAGTTATTTATATTTTTATTTGTAATTTTAGAAAATGTAAAAAGATTTATAATTTTTATTATACATTAATGTTAAAAATTAACATGAGTAATTATTCAATTTATAATGCTAAAAACTTGACACGTAATTATTATTATTGAAATGATAATTATATTTTTAATAAATTAATTATTTTTTAAATAAAAGAATAAAAGATTAAACTTGAGGTAGTATCGTTAAATAATATCTTATTTTTCAAAATACTTTTTAAAAAGTTTCAAATAGCTACGTTTTTCAAATTCATTTTCAACTATTATTTAGATGTGCTTTCAGAATATTTTTTTTATAAAATATTTTACTCAAACAACTTCTAGCATCCTCAGAGTAAAATTTACTTTCTGAATATAAAATGTAGGAAAACTAAACGAGCCCTAAATGAGATCTATTTTTATTTTTGAGGTACATGGATATTTTGACATCAATTGCAGGATATGCATGCCATGAGACATTGATTTTAGATTAAAAACTAGAAATTACACATAAATCTTGCGCATGGAACATCCGCAAATTTTAAAAAAATATAGTTAAGTCTTTTAAAACTTGAATATGATTAAATTTTTAATTTGAGTGAAAAGATTTTTATACCCCTACCACTAAAGCAAAAATAAAAAAGACCCAAAAATTTCCGAAGTAGAGAAACCCAAGCATCGCCATCCAGAAACCCCCAGAAGAATGAACGCTTCAACATCCATGAAATCATCTGCAATTCTGACCCCAATCCAAGCCTCCGACCTGCATCCTCCCTGAAAATGGTGAAGTGCCGACTGAAAGACAAAGCCGACGACTTCCGTGTTGAAGGAGCGAGACTGCACAGCGAAGTTGACGAAGTCCTAGGGGCTGGCGAAGCCGACGATGTCGCAGATGTCGCAATCACACTGCTGTAGATGTCACTGAGGTTGCAATTCTTGGCAAAGGTCGGCGGGTCACACGTCACGAAGTCCACAAAGCCAGCGTTGCTCTCCACGGTGTTCGCAAAGGACTCCTCCGCGATTTCGCTCCTCTGTACCCAACAGTTAATCTGACTGTCTAGATTAATCTGGATGATCCTTATTTAATTCTTTTTATTTTTATTTTATATTTATTAAAATAAAATATTTATAAAAATTATAAAAAAAATTATATTGTAATAAATTTGATCACTAATCTGAACAGTCTAAATTTTTATAAACAAAATAAGTCAATTTATAAAATTTTAAAAATTAAATTAAAATATTTAAATTAAATTAATACCGTTCAAACTGACAATAAACAAATTCATTAAATTATTTTATAAATTTTTATTTTTATAATATAAATTTAGACTGTTCAGTGATAAAATTTATTACAATATATTTTTATAATTTTTATAAATATTTTATTTTAATAAATATAAAATAAAAATAAAAAAATAAATTAAATCTGGACCATCCGATTAATCTAAACAGTCCAGATTTGCTCCTGGGTGCAGAGGAGCGAAACTGCAGAGGAGCAATGCCGACTCCGTTCACAAACTCCCGTAGGTTTTTGGCCATCATCCCTAATCCATTCAGCGCTGACATAACAAGCTTGATTATCAAATCGATTTTTGTTCATTATGTAAATGCAAATTAAAATTTAATATTACCATCATTTTGAAGTCCAGCCTTGGCAAATGCAAAGGAAGATATTTTTTTTATTTTTTTATTTTTAGTTTTAGGAAGTATGACGGTCTTTTCACAAAAAAAATAAAAAAATCACGCTCAAATTTTATAAGACTTAGTTATATTTTTTTCAAATTTATGGAACTTATTTTATAGATAAGTCTCGTGTATGAGAAATCTACCTTGTATTTGATATGTGTGGATATCCAACCAAAAAAAAAAAAAGGGGGATATGTATGGATATTAATGCCATGAATTTTGCATAATGAGCTTAGAATAACTGGTGTCACTCAAATTATTTTGAGTATATAACAGTCAGGTCTTAAAATAATAAATTAATAATATTTAAGTTTTTGACAAATTTTTTTGAAAAGAATTGAAAATATTGATTCAGATAATTAAAAATTCAAAAGTTTTAATTGTAAATAAGTATTTAAATATCAAATATAACTGCAATGAAAATTTTTATTTGTAACTGTTTGAATTAATATTTAAAATTTATTTTGTTAAAAAATTTTATTAAAAACCTCATTCTCATTAATTTAGTATTTTGGGACCTAATTATTATTGTCCCAATCATTTCTCTAAACCATCCCTATCATTTTTAAATATTTTTTAAAGATTTTTTGTAAACCATTCTTATCTTTTTCTTTTTTTTTATTGTTTATAGGTATTTTTCTATTAGAGACAATTTTATTTAAGGCACAATTGGGTATCTCTCCCAATGGATATTTGAACCTTAGTTTGTTACGTTGTGAGAGGCTAACCCTTTCTATTAGGCTCATCTATTGTTGGTATCATTTTGATCATTTTCATTTTGAAACTTAAATTGATTTTTCTTGTAAAATTTGGATTTAATTTTCAAACAAGATTTATATTAAATTTTAAGTGCAATGGTTGCAAACTTACAATGATGTCCATTTTTCCATTAATTTCCAAACTTTATATATTAATTAAAGCATTAGAATAGTTTATAACAAATTTTAATGAATTACTTCCTCTATAAAAAATATAAGACATTTTTTGAGAGGTTGTATATTAAAAATATAAAATATTTTTAGTATTTTAAGGTATAATTAATGTATTTTTTTTTGCAAAAATGTTATTAATAAATAAATAAATTTATATTATTTTTAAGTGAAACACCTTTTTAGATAAGAATAAATTGAAAAAATGATTCTAATTGAAACACAACTAACTAATTTATTGGGAATAAAATTTAATTAAAAATATTTTATATTTTTAAATGAAGATAGTAAATTTTTTCATAATAATTTTTTACTATATATATTTTGGAAAGGAATTACAAAACCTTGTGGCTATAAGTCACGTGTTAGTAATAGAGGTTACAGTTTAGAGTTTACAATTAATTCTTGATTCTCAACCTAAACCTAATATTAAAAAGTAATTAGGCTATTTAATTTCGCTACTTTACTTTATTGGAACATTTTTAATGTGTTGACACGTTCCATTTTGACATTAATTTGTCGTATTTGACATATTAATTGAAACTATATACTCCAATTTAAATCGAATTTGATTAATTGATTTTCAAAATAATTGTTGTCCTTAAGAAAAAATTGTTTTAATTCTAAGCCTAATCCTAATTTCAAAAAGTAATTAGGCTATTCAACGTAGCTACTTTAACTTATTTGAAAATTTCTTTTGTTTTGAAGCATGCCTAATTGTGCATTAAATAAAATACGCATTCTATTTAATATAATGGAGTATGTTTTGAAGCACATCCTAATTTTGGACTAAATATAATACACATGTAGTTTAATTTTAATATGATCAAGTTGAATACAAATTTATTTAATGTTTCATCCAAAAAAATATTTAATGACATTTAACATAAATTGAAATGATCAATTTAATTTAACTTAAAAAATTTAGATGATTATGGATCAGGAATAAAAAAAATACGCACTTATTAATTTGATTAGAAAATAAGCACATTAAGTATGCAAATTAAATATATAAATAATTGAAAATACTATGTATTTATTTTAAATTTGACCAAAAATCTAATATCTGAATTATTTAGACAGTTTGTTACAAGTTCAAGAAATACAACAATAACAAACTTTTATCTCACTAAGTGGGGCGGCTATATAGATTATAAGACGTCATTATACTCTATCATTTACCAAGTTTTTAAAAATATTATTAATTAATAGATTGCATTCAACAACTTTTAAAAGTGTTTTCTTAGATCTTCCTTTATCCCTTTTAACAGGGCTTAAAGTTATATGTTTCACTTTTCTCATTGGTGCTTCCGGCGGTCTTCTTTATATATGCCCAAACCATCTCAAATGGTTTTCTACAATTTTTTTCTCAATAAGTGTTACCTTCACTTTTTCTTGTACGTGCTCATTTCGAATTTTATCTTTATGTATATATTTGCACATCTATCGTAACATTCTCATCTTTGTTACTCCAACTTATGCTCTTGCTATCCCGTTAGAGCTTAGCATTCACTACCATATAACATAGCCAGTTTGATAGCACTACAATAAAACTTTCCTTTAAGTTTGTTAAGCACCTTACGGTCACAAATAACTCCTTTAGCTTTTCTCCAATTAAACCACCCAGCTTAAATACTATCTGAAATATCCCTACCGATTTTGCCATCATTTTGAATAATAGCTCCCAAATATCTAAACTTTTTCACTTGAGGTATAATTTGATCTCTCAATTTTATTTCTAAATTACTGTCGACTAGTCTTTTATCAAATTTACAATATAAATATTTTGTTTTACTCTTACTTAGACGGAAACCTTTTGACTCCAATGTCCTCCTCTATAATTCAAGTTTACAATTAATTTCTTCTTTTGTCTTTGTTATAAGAACTATATCATCCATGAAGAGCATATATTTGAGAATTTTCCCTTGAATATGTTCTGTCACAATATTTAGGATCAAGTTAAACAGATAAGGACTCAAAGATGATCTTTGATATAGTCTAATATTTATACGAAAGTCCTTTGTTTGACCACTAGATGTTTTTATACTAGTTTTTACTCCCTCATTTATATCTTGTATAATTTTAATATAAGCAATCCGTACTTCCTTCTTTTTCAAGGTTTTTCAAAATATTTCTCTTGGTATACGGTCATAAGCTTTTTCCAAATCAATAAAAACCATGTGTAAATCTTCATCTTTGCAATAATACTTTTTCATTAATCCTCTTAGTAGATAAATCGTCTTTGTAGTTGATCTACCTGGCATAAAATCAAACTAATTCTCAGAAATACTTGTCTCTAATCTCAACTTATGCTCAATTACTTTCTCCCACAATTTCATTGTGTGGCTCATGAGTTTAATCTCTATAATTAGTACAATTTGAAATATTCCTTTTATTTTTATAAATAGGAATTAATGTACTTTTCCTCAAGTCGTCAGGCATTTTCTTAGACCATAAAATTACATTAAATAATTTAGTTAACCATCTCACCCTTTTTTCATCTAAACATTTCCACGTTTCAATAGATATATAATTAGGTCTGTTGGCTATACCATTTGTTATTTTCTTAAGAGCTTTCTTTACCTCTTTATTACGTATTATTCAATAGAATGACAAATTTTGTTCTTTTTCATGAGTTACTAAATCTTTTAAGTTACTAGACGAACTTTTTCTATTATTGAAAAGTTTGGAAAAGTAAATCTCTCATCTATTTTTAATTTCATCATCTGTAACTAAAATTCTTCCCTCTTCATCCTTTATACACCTTACCTGTTCTAAATCTTTTAATTTTCTTTTCCTACTTTTAACAATCTTATAAATATTTCATTATCCTTCTTTTGTCTCAATGCTCTTATACAATTTTTTAAAAGCTTTAGAACGAGCTTCACTTACAGCTCTCTTAATTTCCTTCTTAGTCATACAGTACATTTCTCAATTTTTCTCATTGTTATACAAATGTATGGCTTTAAAATAGTTCTTCTTATGTTTGATTTGGTCCTATACACTATTATTTCATCACCAAGACTTCTTATCTTTTGAACTAAAACCTTTTGATTCTCCCAAAATTACTTTTGCAACCTTCCTTATTTTTTTAGTCATATCCTCCCACAAGATGTTAGCACTTTCCTGATATTTTTAAATTTCTTTGTCCAAAAAATTCTACTTAAAAATATCCTGCTTCTTACTTTTTAATTGCCACCACTACAAGTTCAAGACATAGTTCAATGATATTTAATTTGAACAAGAATTTACTCCACTTCCTCTATCTCTAATTATTTTTCTTGATTTTGTTTGTAAGTACATGCCATATTTTAAATTTATAGGCATAAAAAGACATTTTTTTATAATACCTTTTTAAGAAAATAAGATTTCCCATTCCACCTTTCAATTGCCCTTAGATATTTAATGTTATG